TCAGGACAGCCCTTTTGCTATGAACTGATGTGACGGACCATCCATTGCTTGCTTCATTTAATTACATGTTATTTGGGGCAATGTTGTATCACCCAACCCAAAGAGTTTAGGTATTGTATTTTTAAAAAGGAATCCTACTGGGTAAATACACATATCCCATGAAAATGTAATTCAGTATTTAGTCCACAAACCCAACAACTTGTTCAGCAGTTTCACACAACTGTTGGAAAGCAGTGGAGATGATTTAGTCCTCCACAGTTGCCATGCTTTGGGATAAGGTCATCCAATTTTATCTTCGGAGGCCACCCCTGCAGACAAGAACAGAGCCAGTGTAACCCAGTGGCCTTAATTTACAGGGAACACTCAAGGGGTGATCCATTGGATCCTGGTCCTGATTCTTTCCCATCTGAACAGGGTTGAGATCAGAATGTTCAAGAATATCTTTTACTGCAAGATGGCACTTTTTTCCCCAACCCCAAAGGCATCTTGTAACTAGGTTAATCACATCCTCTGGATCTAAAGAGGGTGGCTTAATCTATGGGTAGACCTCCTTGACGTTTGGTGGCCCTGCGTCATTGAGCAAAAACATGTCAACTTCTCCCTGTCCCATCCAAGCAATCTCTCCAAAAATAAAATTAGTAAAGATGGGCGCTGATCCAGAGTGTACATGACATAACCAGACACCACGCCTCATTTTGAAAGCTCAGGACAGATAAAGAAGGAAATAAACAAAACTCCTCAAAGTTTCCTTACATTTTCTTAGCACATATAATCCCAACAGTTAATCTTGAAGTCCTGGAGAATATTTGGGATTTTGGCAGCAGGTGGATGCATGAATTGGTGATTTTCCTTTGAGGTAATTAACAGTACACAAATATGCAAGTAGAACATCTACATTTTAAGCTTCCGCTTTGTTTTACGCAAGCTAAATACATCTATATTCCAGGAATGAAGAATAAAAGAATGAGAGCAAAGTTATGTTGTATTTAAACATGCGTACAGAACAGAGTATCAAACCTGGGTGTCTTACATCAAAATGACTATAATTATATCTGAGCCATAATTAAGTTTTTTTTTGGGGGGGGGGGAATAGCTGCAATGAATATTATTATGTTTTGTTTCATTTTTAAAGGGTCTTATTAAGAAAACAATAGAAATAAAGGAGACAAAGAAAAGGAATAGACATGCTTTTATTAGGCTTTGATACCCAGTTTGCTACCAAGATCTTCTACAAGGTAGTATAAAAAGCAGGAGTTGGAAAGCAGGAAAAAAAGAAATGCGCTTCAAAAATTAAGCCAGATGACTGGACCAGGGGTCTTCAAACTTGGCCCTTTGATGACTTGTGGACTTCAACTCCCAGAATTCCTCAGCCAGGCACGCGTGCCTGGCTGAGGAATTCTGGGAGTTGAAGTCCACAAGTCATCAAAGGGCCAAGTTTGAAGACCCCTGGACTGGACAAATAAAATGTAGATCATTTTGATCATCAGTTCTTCTAAAAAAAAAAGTTGAATTATGTACTGTATTTTCCCAAAGGTGCTTTTTCAAGAGGCAACTGGACTCTCTTTGTTTTTCCTTGAAGAGGTTTCACATCTCATCCAAGAAGCTTCCTCAGTTCTGACTCCAGCCAGAACTGAAGAAGCTTCTTAGATGAGAAGCGAAACGTCTTCAAGGAAAAAACAAAGTCCAATTGCCCCTTGAAAAAGCACCTTTGGGACAACCAGAACCAGGATGACGGAGACCCTCCGTAGACATATGGACTGTATCCATCCACCATTATTCCTCATATCGGATTATTCCCAAGTTTTGGAAAAGTTTATCCTTCTCTGAAAACTGAAAGTTAGCTCTGTCAGTTTTCAAAACTCACAAACTCTGGGCAGGGAGAAGTTTAAGAGTGGCTTGTGTGACTTGAAAAGACTCTTTTTTTGTGTGCTCCCTGCCCTACTGACTAATGAAGAGTTACTCTTTCATTAATAGTCAAGATGCAAGTTGGAGCTTTAAAAAAAATATCTTACAAATCTTTTCTTATTCCTCAGCCACCTGAGGAATTCTGGCAATGCTTCAAGTAATTCTTCATAAGCTCTCTCGGCGGGGTTACGCCGGCATTATTTCTCTCCTACGGAATGTTAGCTTAGGATAGGCAGGGAAAAATCCAGAAGCAGTTTTGAAATGTATAGTTTAATGCTGGTGCAAATGTGCGATAACCCACCGGTCTCTGTGGGCCTCCCTTTGTTTCGTAAGGCATGTTGCTTTCTTTTCCCTTAACGGACTTGACGTGCTTTCCACCATCAGTGAGTATTTCCTGGCTCTTGCATAGATTGGTACGGTGAGGATAATAAGTCAGCCAACTTGGCGATCCTGTTTCTGCTTGTTATTATGGCTGCTTCTCTTTCTCTTACTGAAGGAAGACAACTCCCTTTTTCTTAAGGAGGACATTTTTACCAACCGCATAAGCCCACAAGTCTCGACGCCGCAATATTTGTGCTCATGGGTGCAAGATGTTGTCCTATTAAACTGTTTTCCTCTCTCGTTTCCCTGAACGAATCCATTTAGACGTTCCTCCTGGCTCGTTCTTCGACACAATTCATTATGTTGTTCTTCTGCCTGGTTCTCCTATGCCAGGGGTAGGCAACCTTGGCTCTTTTATGACTCGTGGACTTCAACTCCCAGAATTCCTGAGCCAGCCAAGGTTGCCTACCCCTGTCCTATACAAATTCGCTAGATGTTTTTCTGCCAAATTCTGTACAAATTCCCTGGGACAGCCTTTTCTCCATTGCTCCTCCTGAAGTGGATGGGAAGCCCTCAAGAACGTAGAAATTACACGGCCAACATCCATTTGTTTTTAAGAAACGTTTTAATGGTTGGTTGGTTGGTTGGTTTTTAAGGTTTTTTAAAGAAGAGATTGGGCAACCATTTATCCAGAATGGTCTCCTGCTTGAGCAGCGGGCTGGATTAGAAGACCTTCAGGGTCCCTTCCAGCTCTCTTGTTCTTTTCTCTTCTGTTCATTTCCCGCGTGGTGCATATTCCTAGCATATTTCAAGTTAGAAAGAAAGTGATGCAAACTGATCGAACTTCCTGGCAGTGGGCAGAGTCAGCCTGCAATACTGCATTTTGACCACTGCGCCATCATTGCAAGCCAAGAATTCTGCTGCTTAAAAGCAATCATAGCTGCCATCTTGACTATTTTGACACAGGATGGGAAAGGGGAATGATTCGTGACTTTTGCACACGCACACAAACACACACTTCCCAGGGGACAGTAATAAGGCCGCTGAAATCATTTTGATAACCTCTTTTTACTTAAAATTTCAACACTGGGGTAAGAGCTTTACAATACAAACTCTATTTCCGCCTTCTTCAAGTTGCCCCAAAATCTCCAAAGCGTGGCTGCAACTTTATGACTTGTGGTTTTAAAAACTCTGTTCTCTAGTTCTTTTCCTTATTACAAGTTATTTATCAGTTGTTCGCTGCCTTCTGCAGTATCTGGCATCTGCTGGAGTGAGCTGTTAAATACGAACACTAATAATGTTGTAAACATAAGTATTTCGGCTGGTTTGGTCTGAAACTCTTAAGACCCCGGGGCTGTTTATTCCTTCCACTTTACAGAATGTTAATTGGGCAAATACAGATCAGCTCCAATCAATCGGATTCAGACCGTTAAGTCGGTTTGAGTCAGAAAAAGTGCACAAAGGCTTTGGGATGAATTAAGGGGCTTTCAGCTTGGCTGGGGGGGGGATCAAACGTGAATCGTAAATACAATTTGGAAACCGATTCCACCAAACGGAATTTTGAAATCCAGCAGCTAGCATCCCTGTCGTTAAGAGTGAGGAAGATTGTGTTTCACGATACACCCCAGGTTTTCTGGTTTATATTCCGGTGTCGTAAGGGAAACCAAATTAAATAGGTCTCATTAAAAGCTGAAGAACATCCCGCGTCAGCCTGTTTCTTTTTTTTAATTGCAATGATCTTTTTTTATTATTTTTTTCTCTCGGCTGTTTTGCTGAGTAAAGGTTGTGAGACGATCAGATTTATTTATTGGGGGAAGAAAAGATTGTATGAAGACTCTCCTTCAGTTTATCTTTGTTAATGGCTTGGGGAGAGCAGTCTGATCAGTAGTCTGATTAAAAAATGCCTTTTAATGTCTTGTTTGCACTAAGAAAGGTCGCCATCCCGTATCCAGAGGTCAGCTAGGGAAATATTGAACCCTCAAAGGTGGACGCACAGGTCTGGGACTGAGATGGGCGGGCAAAGGGGGTGGCCAGNTCTCCTTCAGTTTATCTTTGTTAATGGCTTGGGGAGAGCAGTCTGATCAGTAGTCTGATTAAAAAATGCCTTTTAATGTCTTGTTTGCACTAAGAAAGGTCGCCATCCCGTATCCAGAGGTCAGCTAGGGAAATATTGAACCCTCAAAGGTGGACGCACAGGTCTGGGACTGAGATGGGCGGGCAAAGGGGGTGGCCAGGCCCAGGAGGGACCGATGCGTCAGGCGAGCCCCAGGCCACAAAAATTCACGCGCCATCTTAGATTCCTTTTTGGAGCTTCTTCTGAAGAACCCTTGGGAACTGCAGTAGCTGCAAAACGGAGCCCTGTTTATCATTTGACTTATGGACACAATCAAGCTCCAAATTTTGTTGCTAAGAGAGACATTTTGTCAAGTTTCGCCCCATTTTACAATCTTTCTTGCCCCCCGTTGTTAAATCACTGCAAGTGAGTAACACGTTAAGCGCACCTGGTCTCCCCCTTGACTTCTCAGAAGGATGCAAAAGGGGATCACGTGACTCAGGGACACTGCAACCGTCATAAATGTGAGTCAGTTGCCAAGCCTCTGGATTTTGATCACGTGACCCTGAGGGATGCTGCAAGGATCCTAAGCGGGAAAAACGGTCATAAGTCACCCTTTCCAGTGCCATGGTAGCTTCAAATGGTCACTAAACAAACTATAGTTAAGTTGGGGAACTAGCCAGAGCTCTCCCTCCCGACACTATTAATTCTACGCTCTGTCTAAAAACTTGATACGACTTTGAGGAAGGCTAGGAAGCTCAAAAGTTGCAAATATAAGCAATTTGGAGTGGCGGCATTTACCTTTAAAATAGCCAAGTAGGAAGTGAGTTTGATTCAGCCAACAAGAGTATCAAGGTTGACTGAATTCAAGGGGAAATTCTGCCATTTTTATTTAGATAATTAGCAGCCACGTCTCGCCTAGTCCCTGACTGGCACTTCTTGTAACAACTTGATGGGTCTTCAAACAACTAGGCGCTTAAAAAATGACAGTGGCATTGTCGTCCTTTCCGAATTTGAATCCTGAAATAACAACCTGGAACAGTAGATATGTAGCACAGAATAACAGGTGGACATGCGTGGTTTGTTCCAATCGTTCGATTGACGTGACTTGATTTCTATTCTCCAATATAAAGGGCGACCCTACTGTGTAATTTGGTTAATTTCCCAGTTCCATAAATAACAACTGGATTTTTAACACCATCTATGACAGGGACCCTCAACCGTGTCAACTTTAAGACATGTGGACTTCAACTCCCAGAATTCCTCAGCCAGCTTAGCTGGCTGAGGAATTCTGGGAGTTGAAGTCCACAAGTCTTAAAGTTGACACGGTTGAGGACCCCTGATCTATGATACCTCTGGTTGGAATCATGCAAAGTGTAAGAAGGAGGATAACTTTTTTATAAGTAATTGCTTAACAATGATCAAATAATGGCTTAACCTGCCCCCCCCCCCCAATTAATAAGAACAATCAATAGGGGTATGGAAAAGATAAGATTGAAAGTGTTAATTTTTAATATGCAATTAATAAGGATCAACCTTTTTATATTTCCAGATTCTACGACATATGCACATTTTCTGTTCAACGCATTTGACACAGATCACAATGGAAGTGTGAGTTTTGAGGTAAGGCTGTTTTTTCAAAAAAAATTATTTATTTCTGTTCTATAGGCAATCCAAAGTCTTGTTCAAAGGTGTTATGTGTTTCCGTGGGGTTCATAAACACGTATACTGGGTCAACTGAATTCTTACTATTGATATTATTATTAAATGACATATTTGAGAAAACGCGAGTCCTGGTTTCCTAGCTCTCCACACCTCACTCCTCTATCCAGTCAGTATTCTCCTTTAATCCCTTCTCCCATCAATATTCCCTCAAGAGAAGAGCAAGGGAAAGAATTTTAATACAGCGAGAAAACATTCAATTAGTGAAGGAAAAGAGGGCTTTTTTTTAATCAACCAGGTACTTACGTTTCAGCTTTCATTATCTCCCAATTAACATCTTCCCTCTATAAATTCTTTCTTGTTTTGAAGAGCTAAATGAAAGAAAATTGTTCCTCCAGAGCTCTTAACTTGAGGAGTGTACTCATAGAAGAACTTTATGGTCTTCTCCAGTTCTAAATACTCCCACTAGGAAGAGGTGATTAATTAATGTTCTTACCAGTAGCGGGCAGACAATAAGATCTTTCCAAAAGTGTATGAGTCTGGAGAATCATGGAGGTAACCAAATATATTTACAGGCCAAGTTTAGTTTTTGTTTTTCACATGCAGACTGCAGATTTAAACCACCATACTAAGTGCAGGGAAGTGGAGTGGTTCAGCTATTGGACCAAGACAAAAAGAGGAAAAAAAATCACGTCTACCATCAGCTATGGAAGGTGACTTCTGGGATTGTCCCTTCCTCTGCACATCTTAATTTATGTATTTATTTATTAAAACAAACTTATATGGCCGCCCAACAAGGTGACTCTGTCAGCTTAACCCAGAGGAGGGCTACTATGGAATAAAAATCAGGGATGAACATTGCCTTAAAAACCTAGGGGGAAAGGGATATAAACCAAGAGAGCAAACATGATTTGAGATATGTGAAGCCTTTATGTGAAGTTAGTAAAATATTTGAATGTATCACCGGGCCTTTGTAATCCGGAGGCCTTTGTCAGGATTTGCATATTCATTGATTACACTTTTTTTTTTTTTATGAATGTAGAAATTGAATAGTCTGCAAATGATTAAACACTCCTTTATTTATTCATGAATTCATACGTATTTGAAGATAAATCAGACGGGATTTAGTTAAAAATTCCAATTCTCCATCGTTATCTTACATTCTGGGTAATCCCTGCAGTGATAGCCCTCTTTTCTGGAATCAACAGTTCTAAATATTCACCAGATCTCTTCACTGAATCCAACGGGACTGAAAAATCCTCAGCATGGATAAACTATTATTTTAGTTACCGTAGGTGTATTTATTATATAATGTTTCTGCTTTTTCTTTAAGAAGCTCAGAACAAGTTCCCTTGTGCAGCTGGCAGTATTCTGGTTCTGCTTATTTCTGTCGATACTGTTTACCTTTTTCACCCCCAAAAATGTACTAAAAAGAAGAATATTTAAAATACCCACAGAGCAGTAACATTTAAATAGCTTGATGTATTCATAGGTAACTGAATTATGCCAGTGATTTTAGTCTTCACTAAAAAAAAACAGGCGGTGCTTACGTCATCTGAAGAGAGGAATAACAATTAATCATGTACATTACAGTTAGGGTTGACAGCCATGTCTTTGATTAACTTTGATCTCCTCAATTTTGGCATGGTTTTGGTTGGGGAGCTATTGACAGACCGCTACACGCAGGCCCATCCATGCTGTAAATCACATTCGGTCTCGCAAACCTGGATCACCGCAGAGGCTTAATACGAATCGTTATCTGCAATAAAATTTATTTTGAGAAATCAATGCAGTCTAGTGGAAGGAGAAATAAAACCCCCAAAAGATGCTGTGAAATGCCGGTCTGCATACTCTTGATGTTTGAAGGGGGGGGGAGGGAAACGACCTTTTATTTGGTCTTTGTAATTAACTTTTGTTTGCTGTAACCCAGGAGTAACTTCCTGATCTTGTTTTATTTGTGGATTACATTGATTTCTAGATTGCCCTCTAGGAAGATACCATCCTCCTGGGATAAAACGTGTATATTGCTGAATTAATTGGAGTTGGTGTTTGTATGCTAAGGCCATAGGGCTGGGGGGGGGGGAAAGACCTCTAATCAGTTGTATTACCTGCTTCGTCTCAGATCCACGTTCATGCAAGCCAACCCAAAGCGGCTTCTACTTTTATAACAACGGAGGCCTTTGGCGATTCCACTACAACAAAAACCATTATTCATGCAATGCAAGCTGGGTTGGTCCACAGCTTGGGACAGGGCGACTTGCAAAACTACTGGTTTCACTGCTCAGTGGAGTTGAGTGATAAAGAGTATATACCAAGAAAGGAGAATATTTGTAGCTCAGGGTTGAAATGAGGGGGGGGGTCTTTGGTGCTGAGCTGGGTGGTTTTCTTGCAGACGTTTCATGACCCAACTAGGTAACATCATCAGTGCTAGAAGGTGGGATTTGCAGAGGAGGAGGAGGAGGAGGAGGAGGAGGAGGAGGAGGAGGAG